GTCCCCACCCACATCCCCACCCCCACCAACATCCCCACCCCCACCAACATCCCCACCCCCACCGGGCCCAAATCAGAACGACACGTGTACTCTGGCATCCATGAGCTTTCACGACGTACAGTGCTACACGGTGGGTGGTGGCGGGGGGAGGTCAGCGGGGAACATCGCATGTCGCGTGCTGCGTGTGTCTAGGGAGGGTGTATGTATGTATGTATGTATGTATGTATGTATGTATGTATGTATGTGCGTATATCTGAGCTTGTGCACTGGGAGTGCAATTCTCTTTCCCCGCCGGCCCCGGCTGTAACGTATGTGAGTTTGTTTGTCGCTCCTCAAGGGGTCCGGTCACCTAGTCTTTCCCTCCTAACCGCCCACCGGTCTGTTCTGGCCACGGACATTATGTTGTTGTTGGTGGTGGTGATGATGGTGGTGATAGTGGTGGTGTACACCCACATCGCGCATATTTAAAGACAGTAAAGCCAAATATATATTATAATCGCGACCCCTCCTCCTCGTTCCCACTTTCTCCCCCCGCTCCTGGGTACGGCACCCGTCCTTGACCGCACGGCCTCTACATACACACATTCTCCCCCCCCATCCCGCACTATCCCCTCCAGTTCCCCGACCTTCCCCCCGAGCAGCAGTACAGTCAGATGCCCTCCCTGGACCAGCCCGGTGTGCAGTACTACCGCGGCAGCATCAACCGGGTGGTTGACCTGAAACCCGTGGGGCCAGCGGAGGGGCTGGTGGGACGTGACATCTGGTCGCGGTGAGTGGGGGGGGGTAGGGAGCGGGAGGGGGGATGAAGAGGAGGGACAGATCACCCCGTGTGGTGTGTGATATGTGGGGGCCAACTGTATAATGCAAGATGCGAAGGGTCCACTTGGTTGGGTACGTGGGGCCCTTTTAGAGGAGGGGGGAAAGGGTCAGCTGTCCGTGGTCGTTTCCCGGTGCTGGCGCTGGTGCTGGTGTCCGCTTGTACGACACTCAGGACCTTCCTCCCTCGGCATGTCGTGTTGAGGTCTGCAGCTCCCAGTCAGTGATACCCCTCCCCCCTCCCCCCTCCCCTCCCCGCTCTAATGGACAGAGCTTATTTAGGCCTGCCTCCGGAGAAGTGCGGTACAACCAAATGCCATGGTCGGGGGGCGTGTGTGTTGGAGGTGCAGGTGAGAGGATCCTTTCAGGGGTCGGGCGTGCGGGCGGGGACGGGTGGGGAAGTGTGTGTGTGTGTGGGGGGGGTAGGGTTAGGGGGCCTCCGTGGGAGGCCGGTAGGAAGGGAGCTCTGGGGTGGGGTGAGGGGGTTTTGGTGAGGGGGGTGAGGGGACACCCCCTGACGGCTCCCACATCACAGTGCCCACAGGGCTGGGGGGGAGGGGGACAGAGGCGAAGGAAAAGGGAAAGGGAGGGGAACGGAAACAGGTCCGCAGCCGCTGCCTTCCTTTTCCTTGATTCAGCTTGGCGTGATGGACTGTGTGTTACTGAGGGTGTGGTGGCTGAGGCGGCTGGCGCTGGAAAGAGCGATACGCAGCGTGCAGCACCCCTCCTCATCGCTTTGGACTCCTACAGTTGGCAGTTGGTCGTTTGTTCCTCCTTGCTTCATGTGTCGTCCCCTCAACCCTCCTTCCTTTTCCCTGCACATTCCATCTTGCGGGCCAATCCTACCCTCCCCCCGGTCCCCTGACAGCACCTTGTCGTACCCCCCCGGTCCTGCCCCCTTCCACTCGTGTGTGTGTCAGTCCACTGAACTGGACGCCCTCCGTACGGCAACTGAGGGAAACTACTCTCCGTACTGCATGTGCTACAAAGGTTATATGGGGCACCATTGCAAGTAGGTGTGGGTTGGGTTGGGTTGGGTTGGGGGAAGGGGAGGAGGGGGCAGAGGAGGGTGGCGAAGAGAGTGGTGCGGGCGCCTCACCTCACCTCACCTCACCTCACCTCACCTCACCTCACCTCACCTCACCTCACCTCACCTCACCTCACCTCACCTCACCTCACCTCACCCTGCGGGAGGTTTCTCTTTCCCGTTGCCCCTTGCTCTGCTGGGGAGGGAGGCGATGTTGTGCGGTCTGTAGGTGTGGTGTGTACTGCGTGTCGGGTTGTCGGGCGTATCGTCAGCACGTGTTCCGGAAGGGAGCTCAGGAGAGTGGACATTACCCCCCCACTAGCACTAGCACTAGCACCGGTCGACTCCCTCTCATCAGCATGTTATATAGCCCAGTTGTTAGGGACCCCCTGCCTCGTCCTCCTCCTCCTACAGCTACATCTACAACACAACTACTACTATTACTATTACTACTACTACTACTACTACTACTACTACTACTACTACTACTACTACTACTACTACTACTACTACTACTACTACTACTACTACTACTACTACTACTACTACTACTACTACTACTACTACTGCTACTACTATATACTATTATTACTATTATTATTACTGCTTCTCCTACTACTGTTATTGCTACTAATACTACTATTATTACTATTACTACTATTATTACTACTATTATTACTACTACTATTACTACTGGGTTCCCAATCTCCCCGACCTCTTTCCCCCTTCCGGGGTAGATCTATCTATTGCGTGTCACCGACCCCCCTGCTCCTCTCCCCCCTTCTTCCCCCCTTCTTCCCCCGCCTACCCCCAGCGAGGACATGCTGGAGTTGTGTCCTAGCAACTGCCGGGGGCGTGGACGCTGTATCCGGGGGTTCTGTCACTGCAAGTACGAGAAAGGGACATACGTACATGCATGCATACACACATACATACATCCCCCCCATGGATGGAGGGGCTGCGGAGTGTGTTGGCAGTCTGAGTCGGGGTCGAAAGCACACAAGACTAACTGACTTGTGCTGTGTGCTCCCGACCCTTGCGCTGTGTTTCGGCTTCGGCCCCCGGCTCTCGCGGCCCACAGTGTAATCTAAGTCATACATGCATACATACATACATGCATACATACATACATACTTACATACATACATACATACATACATACATACATACATACATACATACATACATACATACATACATACATACATACATACATACATACATACATCATGGCGCATCACCCATGAGCCAGCTGACCCAACCGCCGCGTGAATGGAAGTACCTGTTCGACTGATCGCTCGCATCCTCCAGGGGGAAGGAGGGGAGAGGAGGCGCATGCCTAATATCAGATGCGGTATCTGAAGCAATTGAGGGGTTTAAGGAGTTGAAGTGTTGGTGGATTGCTGGCGGGAAGATGAAGGGAAGCGGAGATACTGTCTGATGGGGGCCCTTAGCCTTTTCACATCAGCACCAACCCCCCCGACACAAACACACTCACACAGACACAGCATTCGCTGGCTCCTCCATCCCGCACACGCGTTGCCCCTTCAGCCTTTACCCGCCCGGTATGACCCCGTAGGTGCGGCTCCTTACCATACCCTCCTTTCCTGAGTTCAACACCACCCTGGGCCCGGGGGCCCCCGCTCTACTGCACCACCAGCTGATTGTCCCACAACCGCCCTAGGTGTACAGGTCGGGACATCGAGTCCCCCCCCGCAATCCTTCTTTCCCCCGCCCTCCCGCCGCATCCCGCCTGCGTCCTTCATCCCTCCTTATCTCCATGTCTGTCTGTCTGTCTGTCTGTCTGTCTGTGTGTCTGTCTGTGTGTCTGTTCCCTCCTGTCTTTTCCCCCACCTCGCGTGTTGCTGGCAACCCCAACCGCAGTCCCCCCTATTGGGGCCTGGACTGCAGTCGCGAGCGGGCCTGGCAGCTCGCCCCGGGAGCCCCACACATTCCCAACCGCCATGTGCTGAGGATATACGTGTGAGATAACCTGGACAGAGCTAGGGGCAGCTACTGCCAGCACTAGGAGTAGCGGTAGCACTAGCGGGGAGATCACAGACGGATCGGTTAGCGGGTTTTAAGGTTTTTTTGACGTGTTATTCGTTGGGGGTGAGGGTCGCGTTGGGGGTAGGAGGGGTAGCGATGCTTCGTACATGGTCGCATTCCCCGCTGGGAAGGGGGGTGGGTGGGGCGTATTTCCCGCCTCCCTCCGGCAGCACCTCTTTTCCCTTACCCCCCCTCCCGCCCTCCCCCTCCCCGCCGCAGGTACGACCTACCCGCTAACGCGGCCTTCATGGTGGCATTGGTGGGTGTTGGTGTTGGTGTGGAAGTAGGGGCCGTTTGGGGAGGAGTGTGGTGGGCGGGAAGGGGAGGAAGGAGGAGAGGAAGCAGGGGGGTGAGAGGAGGGGGGCGAAGGGGTGTGTGGGGGGGGAAACGTAGATGAAGTGGAGGGGGGGGAGAGGACGACAGGGGTTTCGTAGGCGACCCAGATGCGGCGGTTCCCCCTGGCTGCGGGGAAACGAGGGGGTTGAGAGGAGCACATTGTGTATTTTGGCCGGGTAGAGGGCGGGAATCCTCTTGTGTGGAAGGTCAATGCGTGATTGCGTTTTTAATTTATTTCCCCCCCTCCCCACTCCGTCGCACCCCCGTTCCGGTGCTTCTGGCTGCCGTGCCGTGTTGTAATACACTGAAGTGCATTGTACTGTCCACCGGATTACATGTCCCCTCCTCCCAGGGCTACACCCGCGCTTACCCGCCCCCGCCCCCGCCCCCGCTGCCTCTGCTTCCGCCCCCACGTCCCCCTCGCTCCTCACCTCTTTTCACAGGACGACAACGTATTCGACCTGAACGAGCCCTCCTACCAGACACATCGGAAATTCCTGGTGGGTTGGGCCTTGTGTTGTGTTGTGATATGAATTGTTACGGAGTGGGAGGCTTCTGGGCCATTTGAACACATTGCCATTTCTACGATTTATATACCATACAGCACCATCCACCATTACCACACTGTACTGCGCCACACGAAGTGGAAGTCCAAGGCGGTTGATCCTGCCTACTAGGATTACTCCTCATCCATTCACCCGAACATCCGCAGAGACAGAGGGTTCAGCAATCGCCACCAATCCAGCGTGTGAATCTCGATCCATCAACTGTGATCTTAACTCCACATCTCAGCAGCTAGCCATAATCTCACGCTCCCGACAATGTCGGGGGTCTCCCCAGGAATCGCACCCAGGATCTTAAACTGTATAAGACAGTAGTGTCGCCCAGACCAGATTGTGTTTTTGGGAGCGGGCTGGGCACCCGGCAACTTGGGCGCATGGGTGGTTGTTGGCGGGGTTGTTGGTAGTTTGAGGTTGGGCGTGGAGTACCTTTTTCCCCCTTCCCCCTTCCCTTCCCCCATCCGCCCCTCCTTCCCCCCCTGGTTTGTCTTTTCCCCCCACCTCCCCTCCCTCCTTCCCCCCTTCCCCCTTCCTCCGTCCTCCTTTCCCTCCCCTTCAACCCATTTCGTTTCCGATTTTCGATCGACAGGAACTGCTACTGCGTGACAATGCCGTACGTACAGGTAGGTGTGACTGGGGTGAAGTGGGGGAGGGCGGGGGTTGCTCAGCCTGGGTGCATACACATACACACACACGCGTGTTCACCCTCTCCCCCCAGAGAACCCCCTGGAGGCGAACCTCTTCTTCGTACCCGCCAACGCCTACGCATACTCGAGTAACACGAACCCCCCCACAAACCAGGTAGGGGAGGGGGGAGGGGGGGAGTCGACTGGTGTAGGGGGGTTTCGTTTGGCCACCCGCATGCCGGGGTGTACCCCCCTCGCTTGCCGCAGGGGGTTCGGGTGTTGCCTAAGTGGGCGAGGTGGGGAGGCGCGAGGGGGACCCCGAGGGGGGGAAGGAAGGAAGGAAGGAAATGCGGGGTATGACCGACATGACCCGACCGACATGCGGGGTGCCCTAAAGGGGAGCCCGGGGGTAATGTATGTTTGTGGTGCTAGTGGCCGACGCGTCCTTACCCGCCACCAGCACCACCACCAGTGCCACTGGGTCCTCCCCCTTTTTACCGCAACCGCCGTTCCTTAAGCTTCCATCCAACCGCTGATTCATTTCCCGTTGTTGTACGGCACTGTACGACAGATTGAGTTCGCTCTCAATTACGTTGCCAAACACTATCCGTACTTCAACGCCAGTGGGGGTGCGGACCATTTCGTTTGGACCACCGGTGGGTGGAGGGGGATGGTGGGTCCTGGCAGCTGAGGCGGAGGAGGGAGGTGTCGAGTGCCGAACGCCTGCGGTAGGACCGAGCCAGGTCGGGACGCAGCAGTGCTTTTCACCCCACCCCCCCGCCCCGTCGCCCCGTCAACTTTCGCTTCTTACAGCCTGGGCTTCCCTGTGGGTGCAAAACCAACTAAACATACATACATACAACTAACATACATACAGATAAACAGAGAGCCTCCCATCCCGTACCGCCCCTTTACCAAAAGGTGGAAAAGGATTTTTTTAGAGATAAAACCCGGCAACTTAATTTTGTTACACAGCGGTGAAGAAGTGCCTTTTGACGGGAAGTCATGAAGGGTATTAGTTATGTTAATGCAACTGATATATAGCCGGTTCATTTTAAACCCCCCGTCCCCCTTACCCCGTTGGCCCTTCCTTCCCCCCGCACACACTCACACAGGTGACAGAGGCACCTGCTACCTACCACGCCGGGTATGACGTGTATGTGTGTGTGTATGTGTATGTGTGTGTGCGGAGTGTTGGGGCGGGGGGAAAGAGGGAAGAGGGGCTAAGCAGGAGGGCGACTGTTTCCTGTTGATGTCTGTCGATACATTGCTGTTTTCGCTCATGTTCATGTTCGTTGTTGTCCGTCGTTGGTGGTTGCGGTCGTTGGTGGTTGATGGTTGCAGTTGTTGATGATTGCAAACGTTGGTGGTAGCATTCGTTGGTGGTTATGGTTGCGGTTGTAATGCTGCGTGCAACCCCCGGCACGTCCCCCTTGGCCGTGTCCCCCCCTCCCCCTCCCCCCTCCTCCCGCCCCTGAACGCAACCCCCCCCCACACACACCCCTCAACTGCCACTCAGCTGTCCAACGTGATTCACGTGACCCTGTTCGGGCTCCACGCCAACCTGCGGGACAACACAACGACCTTCCTGAAGCCCGCTCCGGAGCACCACCCCACCTGGGGCTGCTACCACCCCAAGAAAGACGTCCTGGCGGCGCCATGGTGGGTGGAGGGGGGAGGGGGGCGAGGGGGGGAAGGGGGCAGGAAGACGTGCACGGTTGGGCGTTCCCCTTCCCCCCTTTTTGGGTGAAAGGGGGGAAGGGAATGCGGGGAGCTTTTTTACAGGAGGAGAGTAGCCGAGGTAATTGTACGGCACGAGAAGAGGCATGCGAGTCACGGGGTGGTTGATGTTGGTGGGTTGTTGCTTCAGTACGGTCTGGAGGGACCGCAAGTGGCAGTAGCCGTACTAATCGTACTCGTGTGAAAGGGGGGTGCGTGGCTGTGGGTGGGTGGGGGCAGCCGTGGGGGAGGAGGTTGCAGGCGCTGCAAGGTGTGTGGGTACGCACACACACACACACACACACACACACACACACACACACACACACACACACACACACACACGCTGCACCACCACCACCACCTCCTGCAGCACGAGCTGTTAAATACCTGAATAAGCCGCCCCTGGTGAGTGGGCGCCCTGCCGTACTACCGCTGCTGCTGCTGCTTGAGCCGGGAAACATTGGAGCTTAGTGCACGTGTGTGTATGTGTGTACGGCAGGTACGACCATATGCTTGGGTCCAAGGAGGCCGTGCATCTGTACGGCTCGCTGTCGGACGCCGGGGGCGAGGCGCCCAACAGGGACCTACTGTTCTTCTTCGCAGGTGAGTGCGTGTATGTATGTATCTGGGGGGGGAGGGGGGGAAAGGGGGGAAAGATGGATATCCCGAGGAAAGGGGAGTACGGCTCGCTAGGGGTGTTGGCGAGGTGGGGGGAGTCCTTCACGGGTTGGGGCGTCCTGGGGCCTCGGGGTCGGGTGATGGCGGGAAGGGCCCGGGTCGGGGTGTGTGTGTGTGTGGGGGGGTGCATGATGGCCCCGTGGGCTCCCGTGGACCTGGCTGTTTCATCAAATCCTGGATCCAGATCTAGTGTCGTACTTCCACCCGCTCGGCCGAGCCAAAGTACGGCCCCACCTTGTTCACCACGGACCATGTGGACCGACATCCTCGGAACACCCCCTTCCAGGCTCGGTACGGCCGCGCGACACGTCGTACAGTGGCGGCGCCCGCCAGGCGTTATCCGCCCACCTGAAGGCGCTGATGGCCTCGGGGGGGAATTACTCGGACATCCAGTTCGTGGAGGGTGGGTGGTGGTTGCGGGCTGGGGTGGGTTGGGACCGTGCTGGGGCCCCTGTGGGTGGTGGGGGGTGGTGGGGGGTCCACAGGCTGGGGGGCGCGTGTGTGCGTGTGTGTTTTATCATGATCTTGGCCGCGATAAGGGAAATGCCTGTGTGTATGTGTATGTGTATGTGTATGCGCATGTGTATGTGTATGTGTATGCGCATGTGTATGTGTATGTGTATGCGCATTTGTATGTGTATGTGTATGCGCATGTGTATGTGTGTAAGCGTGAAGGGAGGGGGAGGGGAGGGAGATTTGGGGTTAGTGACCTCAGGGAGGTTATCTGGATTGGGGAACTCAGCGTTGTGGAGGTGCGGAGGTCTCCTCCTTATTTCCAGGAGCTGTGGGGGCGGCGGCGGCGGCGGCGGCGGCAGGTCCTGAGGGACGAGGGGGGGGGGGGCCCTGCAGGGGGAGGTGGGGGAGGGGCTCGGGAGGGCTGTAATCGTGATACAGTCCGTGGTCCCCCCCCACCGCTCCCGCCGGCTGCTTGCTGCATGTATCGCCACCTGTCGTGTGGCCAGGTGCCGGCCTACCGCCGGATCGCTGATCTCCCCCTCCCCAAATACCCGTCCTTTGCTAAGTCGCTCAGACCGGCCCTTCCTTCTTTACTGGGCTACTGTTGCCGCTTCAAAAGGGGGGCCCACACTCTCCCGCTCGCGCTGCCCTCCTCATCTCACCCCACCCGCTGGGACAACCCAGCAACAACAACACAATATTAACCAGCAACACGATTTCATGGTGTTGCAACCGACCGATGCACGTGCTTGGGTTTTTTCCGGCCCCCCCTTCCCCCCGTGGTCATGTGCACCTCAACCCACACACTTTTCACAAGTACCTTCCCTCCATGACACATGAACACCTCCCGGCCCTCTCCCCCGGGGGCCCCCTGGGGCGCACAGGCACCGTCCCCGACTATGAGGCGCTGTACATGCGCTCCCGGTTCTGCCTGGCCCCCCACGGTGCTGGTTTCGGAGTGCGGCTCACGCTGGCCATGACACACGCCTGCATTCCCGTCATCATTCAGGTGCGGCTGGGGCGGGGAAGAGGTGGAGGTGTGTGTGTGTATGTATGTATGTATGTACAAGGAGGGATGAGGCCAGGGAGGGATGAGAGGCAGCTAGGGAAAGCGGGTCTCTGGGGCCAGATACGGATCTTGATGGATCTTCTAGATGTGACAGGTGGACCTTGTGTGTGGGGGGGGGGTGGGGGGTGGGGGGTGGGGGGTGGGGGTGGGGGTGGGGGGGTGCGGGGGAGGGTGGGGGGGAGGGTGGGGGGGGAGGGCCGTATCCCCGGCGCTGTGCTTCTGGAGGGGTTGTGGTCAGTGCCACACCCCTCAACCCTACCACCACACTACACCACACCACCACACTACACCACACCCCCACATCACACCACCACCACCACCACCACCACCACCACCACCACCACCACCAACAACAACAACAACAACAACAACAATGCACCTGACCTGGAGCTCATCTAGCATGACTGCTATAGCAACGCTGTCTGTTCGTTTTGTTTGGTTGGCACAACCCCGCTAGCCCCGCTGGCTGCCTTACCTTCCTTTCTGTACAGGATCAAGTTTACCAGCCGTACGAAAGCGACGGCCTCTTGCCGTACAGTCAGTTCTCGCTGCGGCTGTCCAAGTCCGATATTCCGTACATCGTAGACATCCTGCGTTCCGTATCCACGGAGAGACAGAAGCGCATGCGGTTGGCCATGGCCAAGTACCACCAGTGAGTTGTCGGTTGGTCGGTTGGTCGGTGGGAGGGGAAGGGGGGGAATGCAGACAGGCGGAAGTTTCTCCGAATTTCGATGTTTCGAAGTTGGATTAAGTTGGGAGGGAGGGGTGATGGAGAAGCAGCAGCTGTCGACGCCCCAAAAGCCGCAACTGCTTTAGGGGGTGGGGGTTATTGGGGTGGGGGGTGGGGGAACTGGGCAGCAGCGGCCCTCGCCAGCAGTGGGCTAGTGGGTGGTGGGTATTTACCGGGGGGTGGGAGAGCGGGGGCGACACCAGCACATGGGGGAGGAACAGTGAATTCCGTGGGACTGCGGTTTGCTACTGCGACGCGATGCAACGGCAACGGCGGCGATGAGGGATTGTGGGCTTAGAGTGAAACAAGAACGTCTTTGCGGCCTCATACCTTCGGATGCTGCTTATGGCGCCGTTGCATTTACCTCCTAGGGCTTTTACTTCCCCCGCATCCACAGCGGCCACCCTCGCCGTCCCCTCTTGCGCCGTATCCGCGGATGGCAAGGTGTATTGCACGCATCATGCAAACAATCATGCGTGACACGTATCGACCCCCATGCCGTGCCCCCTGGCCCTCTGATCCCGTATCTCTTTGCCCCTCACCCCCCCCCCCGGTTGCAGCGCCTTTCTTTGGGAGCCCTCTCTGGGCGGTCGCGCCTACAACTACACCATCCGGGCTCTCAACCAGCGGCTGCATGGCCTGTGGGGGCACCTGTGGGGTGACCCACATCCAGCCGAACGCCGGCATCTGCGAGTGGCCTGGGATGATGCCCAAGATGAGGGGGAGCTGGCTGATATGTGAGCAGCCAGGGAGGGCGGTGGGTTGCGGTACGGCGTGTCATTGTCACGTTCAGTCGCATTAGGGGTGGGGGGTAAGGGAAGCAGAGGCCGGGAGATGTTTGGTCGGGGGCGTGAAGGAGACGGGGGAGCAGCAGTGGACGCGGAGGGACTGAGCGCGGACTGGAGGGGTGTGTGTGAGGCGGGAGGGTGGCAGGTGGGAAGGCATCTGGATGGCGTAGGGAAGGAAGGGAAGGGAAAAAGTTCTAACTAGTAGTTCTAACCGTCGTCCGGTTTCGGAGGCTGGGTTGCTGCTGGTGGAAGGGACCCCCCCGCTGATGGTGGCGATGATGATGATGATGATGGCAGTGCGCTACTCTGACAGTACAGCCTCAATAATTATTGACCACAAGCAAGTCAGACGGACGGACAGACGGACAGACAGGACTGTGCTGCTGCGCTTAATAAACTGCCTGACCGGTAGCTAAGTACGGTTTGCCACGACCGGACTTTCCCGAGCAGTTGGGAAAGGGTGCGAGCCCCTTGTGTGTGTGGGGGGGGTATAGGGGGTTGGAGGGGTAATGAACTGAGCCGCGTGTGTGTCTTTGCATGTATGCATGTGTGCATCGATTGTGCAGGGATGGTACGTCTCCCAGTCTTCCGTGTAACGCTAGTGGCCGCCGTACCTCCCGTACTTCGCACCCTTCATCCCCAGCAGCGAGTATTACCTAGCTGAGGGGCTGATAACGTAGCGGCGGCAGTTTGCAGTGGATGCAGTGCAGCGCGCTTGTGCATGTGTGTGTGGTGCAGTGCAGTGCAGTGCAGTGCAGTCCACCGGCAATGTAAGCATTTACATGCAACGCGCACGACCACCTCGGCTGCCACCTCGCCGCACGACCCTTCAGGCTCCCGGGTTCGCTGTGTTGGACGGCTGCGTGCGCTGAGCACTGAGCAGCAACGCGCCTTCCTGATGTCCCTTTCCTGGCCCCGTAAAAGGAGCCCCTCGAGGCCCTTCGCCGGGAGCCTTGCAGAGATTGCACTTGCAGGTGTCGTACTGTATTGTGCAACCCCAGGCTACAGAACCTGAAGCTGTCACATTTCCCTGGCTCTCAGACAACAGGACTACGTATATATGTACGTATACATTCATATACATCCATATACGTATCCACATACGTATATATATGTATCCATATACGTATATATATTACCTCATCACCTGGATATATAATATCCAGGTGATTAGTAAAATGGGCGCTATTAGCCCCCGGCCAGCTGCAGACCGGACCAGCCACAACACCATTCGGTCCACAGTAGAACCCAGTCGTAGAAGAATGCATGGGGGGGGCATGCACGTTGTAGGTGGCAGACTTGCAGGTTGGAGAAGTAATAACGTGTCTAGTCTGAGACATAGAGTGCCATCTCTTGCGGCGTGAAATTGCGCACCCCCCTGGTTCCGCAGACGTATCCCGCCTGTAATGCAGTGATCAGGAGGGGTGTGTCTATGTGGGGGCCCTTCACGAGTAGATGATTGCGACGGATGAGCTTGCGGCGGCTTTACGTGTGGTAACGTTGGGGGTCACGGGCTCGTAATACTACCTGAGTTGTTGTGTGGGTGGACGTTCACGGCGGGTGCTGCGATGGCTGCATGACGGCGGGCCATGGACCGAGGCTGGACAGCCGGTCCTGTGCAAGGACTCCGGTTACGCGTTTCGCAGCCCCCACCGGGACGATAATCAGCAATGCAGGGAGGGTGGAAGGGGAGGAAGCACCGATAACGAACAGCACCAAACGGCCCACGGGCAGTCTTGAAAATGTCCACTGCTGCCGGCACGGCCCGTAGCACTACGAGAATAATAATGTACGAAAAGTACTAACACGCACACACACGCTCGGACGGACGCTTCGGTTGCCAAACAGGAGGCTGGCGGCTGGCAGAGGTTACTGACTGACTACTGCTCCCGGGTTCAAATCCGCCTGCCGGCTCCTCGGGTGTTAGAGGAGTGTCGCAATGGGAGGTGGCCCCCCATCATATGGACGATGTAGGACGTGATAAAATCAACTTGCGAACTAACCAGGAACTAAGTTGATGCGCCATTGATCCGCTAGATTTGGTTGGATGCTGGTGGTGAGTTGCCGAACCCAACGAATACATTCTGAAGTCGGATGGGGTGACGGATTAGGGTGCCCCTCTAGCGGCAGGGGAGAGCAGGGACTGCCCCGGGAAAGGGGGCCGCTGGCGAAGTTAACCACCCTGTAACAACATACATACATATAGGCTGGCGAAGTTAACCACCCTATAACAACATACATACATATAGGCAGGCGGCTGGCAGAGGTTAAGGCCTGACTCCTGCTCCCAGTTGACCCAGTCGACCCGGGTTCAAATCCGCCTGCCGGCTCCTCGGGTGTTTGAGGAGTGATGAAATGGGAGGTGGCCCCCCATCTTATGGACGGTGTAGGACGTGATAATATCAACTTGCGAGCTGACCAGGAACTAAGTTGATGCGCCGTTGATCCGCTAGATTTGGTTGGATGCTGGTGGTGAGTTGCCGAACCCAACGAATACATTCTGAAGTCGGATGGGGTGACGGATTAGGGTGCCCCTCTAGCAGGGGAGAGCAGGGACTGCCCCGGGAAAGGGGGCCGCTGGCGAAGTTAACCACCCTGTAACAACATACAGGAGCCCATCCGGCTCCAGAACCAAGGTCGCTCGTCGGTTGAATATTGCAAAAAACATTGGCGTTTCCTCGCAAGCTAGGAAACGATACGTTTTAAGCGAGTGACATGGCGTTGAGAACGGCCGAGGGCGTTACACGTGCCGAAGGTTTCGGGGCTCCAGTAGAAAGTGGTGGATGCGTGCCAACATTTACGGGTTTGCGGGCCATTGCACTCCCTATGGGCCGAGGGGCATATTCGGTGTTATGCTGCAATCCAGCCGCTACGACGCTGGCACGGTTGCGTGAGACGGCACATCTGGCGGTAGCGGGTCTAATGCTATCGTGGGCGAACGTAGGGAGTATGCTCTGAGGGTGAGTTTAAAGGGCTGGTACTGCGGGACGTAACGCTTGGCTCGTGAACCCGCTGACAGCTGGCGGATGTTGATGGAGGTTCTGGAGGAGTGCAGAGATAGGGAAAGGAGAAGACAGGTGCCATTGGACGTGCAGGGGAAGAAGCCGGACGCTCGGATCGGTGACTGTTGGAACAGGGGATAGTGTGTGGTCGCTTTGGATGGGACCGTTACAAAGGTTATCCCCAACGACGACTCTGGTCGCAAACCTGAACTTATGATAAATAGTGAAACATTCTTGTGTATCATTAAAAAGATACAGGTCACTCTTCAATACTTTCCATACTGATCACGCTTCGCCAGTCCTCCGCGTTTACCAGGACCTGCGGAAAACGTGCACGCTCATTTCATTTTTTAATACGTGGTTGTAGAGCTTTAATGATTATGCATCGGCTAGCCGTTCAGCGGACTGCGGTGGTCCGTCCTGGGGCGCTCGTTCGTTTGCAAGTTGGAAAGAGACCGTCGAACTCAATTGTCACACAGATTCGCAAGACAGAGAGCGGTACGCGGCCGCTTCATGTTAACGACAAGCGAAAGGCAACGTTATGCTCGTCCACCTCAGCGGACCGGGGAGGCGCCCTAGTCGCTACCCGCGATATCCCTGAAGGCCGCCTTTCGTATGAAGATGAAGGCCCTGTCGCCAGCGGCTCGTCCGTTGCGACTCGGTTCGTTCCAGCGGGCATGCTGTCTCGCGAAGATTCCCAGATCAGGGACTCCCAGATCAGTCCGTCAGTCCATCGCGATGTACCCGAGGGGATGCTGTCCCGTGAGGAGCTCAGCGACACGGAGCGCGAGTCGGATCAGCGCCAGTTCAACTGGTTCCAGCAGTGGTACCCGGTGGCCGCCCTGGACGCACTCGACCCCACCAGGCCGCACGCCTTCACCCTCCTGGTACGGCCCGTACAGAAGACCGTGAAGACTTACCCAACCCCTCCTGCTGCCCACCAGCATACCAATCCCCACCTGCACCGCAACGCCACCGTGGTGCGCCTTCTTTTCACTCTCCCTATTGCCCCACGGTGGGCCCCCTCCCCCCCTCCCCCATTTCCCCCTCCCCCGCCTACCCCCCCTCAGGGCCAGGATCTCGTGTTGTGGCGGGATGGCTCCGGCCGGTGGAGGGCGTTCAAGGACGCGTGTCCGCACAGGTACGGGAAGGGGCGGGGGGGGGAAGACGAACCACGAGCGATTGAAGCTGCTGCCAAGGAAAGAGTGTACAGGGAGCAGAACTGACCAGTAGGCGGTTTTGAAGAAGCAGTCCTCGGGACGACGTAGTGATGACGACCGCGGAAACCTACCTACCTAGCCGCCAAAACTAGAATAAGTGCGGAAGAAAACCAGTAATGCAAAGCCGTAAAGAAGTAAAGTTAGGTGTAGAGGCGGCGGAAAAGTAGTAAAAAAACTGATGACGTGAGCTGGAATAAAGTTTGCCGCCGGCCTAGCGGCGGCATTGACGAGGTTTGGCCAAAAACTGGCTGATTTGCTGGTAGTAAAAAGCTGGTGACATGCAAGTGCTCCTCCCAAAACTCCAGCACCGACCCGACTATCCTAGTCCGGCTAGCCGACCGACGCCAACGCGATATATACCGACAAAGCTCGAACCTCCTTCGGACTCACCTGGCCAGGCAGCAGAAGCAGCGGGCAAAGGCACATGCGAGGCAGAGAGGTTACGTAAGCAGGACTGCACGTAAAACCTAAGGCAAACGAGTTGGCGGGTCGAGGCGCTTTTATCGGTGACAGTGACCACACAGCCTCGGGTAGCGTGACGGAGGGCAGTGAGGTCCCGGTCTTTGAGGACAGGTCAAGTGAAATGGGCCGTACGGGTACGGGTGCGGGTGTGTCGAGATGTTTTATGGAGGAGAGTAAGGAGGCAATGGGTAGGGGGAAGAGGAGGAAGGGGGGAAGGGGAAGACGAACCACGTGAACGAGTGAAAAGCTGATGTCAAGAAGGATATGGACTGATACACGCCGGAACTAAACAAGCAATAACGAACCAGTCACGACTTGTGAAGAGGGAGTCCTCGCGGTGATGTATGGAGAAGGGGTTTGAGGGGTCGGGGGGATTGCTGCTAGGCTTAGGCGCCTGCGAATTGGGCACCTTCACCCTAGCTATTCCGTAGTAATCACTTCGGTCGTTTGCTGGTGGCCGTGTTGACCCCCTTGAGGGGTCCAGTGCCGTTCCCTTTAGCACACCCTCCTCGCCCACTGCACCGGCGGCCAGATAGGTCTGTCGCCCTTTCCTCCCCCACACACACGGTGCGCTATCACCCGCTGCCTTCCCTTCCCCTTTTCACTCCCTCCCCCCCCTTTCCGTGCCCCCCCCCTCCCTCCCTCCCTCCCGCCCTCGCTCCCTCCCTCCCTCTCTCCCCCCTCCGCAGGCTAGCCCCGCTGTCCGAGGGCCGCATTGAGAAGGACGGCACCCTGCTGTGCGCGTACCATGCATGGAGGTTCGACGGATCGGGGGCTTGTACGGCAATGCCGTTCTGCAGGTGTGTATGTATGTGTGTGTGTCTTAATGATCTGAGCCGAGAAAGGGCTCAAGGACCTGAAGGCCTAAAAGCCGCGAGAAAACGAAATACCGCAGGAGCACGCGAAGCGGAAACTAGCGCCCAAAGGGGATATTGAGTTGCGGCTATACCACCGACCGCAGGTGGCAAGAAGGGCAGGTGGGATGGGCAAGATTGTGTGTGTGTATGTGTGTGTACTTCGATCTACGTTAAACGCAATCAGCCAGATCCTTCTTGCCAACCCACCTGTACATCCCAAATGAAGCACCTGAAGTACGAAACACCCGTACCGCCTTCCCCCGCCCCCCCACCCCCTCCCCCCTCCAAACCACGCAGTCCGGACGACCCAGGTCGCCGCAACCCCCGCAGCTGCGCCGTGTCGTACCCCGCCCTGGAGCGGGGGGGCCTGCTGTGGGTGTGGGCGCAGGGGGGCCCGGGGGCGGAGGAGGCGGCGGCAGCCAAGCAGCCGCCGGTGCCGCCGGAGGTGCAGGTACGGGCGGAGGAGGGCGGGGGGGTTGGGGGGAGGGGGTGAGGGAACAGGACAGGGCAGCGAAGACCTGCTTGTGGGGACCTACGGCCCTGCAGCCGCTCCTCCGGTTGACGATACCGCCTCAGTGGCCCCCTCCGCTCCGAGCTCCCTCACTCCGTTCCGCGGGTGGGGACTCGCACCTACCACCTCCACCACCGCCACCGCCACCACCGCCACCACCACCACCTCGCAGGATGACGGTCGGCCTCGTGCCGGAGTGACCTGCATGGGTTGGTCGCACAGGGACCTGCCGTACGGCCACACGTACTTCAT